TTTTTTTAATTAAAATGTGGCTATGAACCCTGTTAAATTTATCTAAAACTTTTCCAATTTTGTAAAATGCTTTTTCATTAGTTTACAGCGCAATTATACAACAATTAAGTTGTATATTATTAATTTTCAAAATTGAGATTAAAATGTTCATATACAGTTAAATCTAAAAAATTTGTTAATGGGAAGTGGTTAACCCTCTCGCTGCGCATCCTGCGATTTCCCGGGGCAACGTAAAAGTAGCAAAACTTGCACAACCCGCGATTTCTGCGGGGATGAATTTTCACCATCTATTTTACTTTGCAACCAGCTCTTTCCCCATTCAAGGTTTCCTTTCGGCTTTTCTGTGATGTTTAATTGTTTATTTAGATGTGGGCTAACAGATGGTGTTAGTTGTTCACATTTCTGCCAAATATACAAGAATACGCAATGTAGCATTTTGCGCATGCTTTTCAGAGCTCAAAGATGTCTGGCAGGAAGCGTTTCGCGAGTGATATAACCTGTATTCCTGACGCTATTTCCGACACTGATAGTACTTCTGAATCTGATTTAAAGTGTATTGAAGATAAGTTACAGTGAAACTGATGAGAATTTCTCAGATTCCTCTGCAAATAGTTATGAATCTGAAAATTCAGTTTCTATTGAAAACGTTCAACAATGGTGCAAAATTGATATGCAAAATATTACATTATGCAAATATTTTCATTAGTATATATGTTTTACCTTTGTATTTTATAAAATAAATCATAATTTAACCAATAATAATTTTAAAAATTTTTCTTTTTATATTATTCTTCAATTTCAGTATTCTGACAGCCTTTTTCTATGATCTTAATTCTATATGAAAAAACTCTTTTACAAAAAATTTTTGTCTATTTTAACTGTAAAATATATGTATATTTAAAATAAGTAATAAAAAATACGCAATTTTTGAACTTATTTTGATAATGAAAAAAGTATGCAGTGAGTGGGTTACGATTAGTAATATTAAGTAACTTGTTTTTCTGATTAGTAATAACGGGTGGCCATAATTAAACTGACAGTGCTCACAGTGTTCTCTGTAGCGCGATCTATTTGCAAGAATGACACCACATTTTGTAGGGAGATTAAACAAGACGAGGGACGAAGGATTCCGCAAAAAAAAAAAATTAGTTCCAAAAGTCACCGCTAGGGGAATATTTGCCGCTGTGTAATAAAAAATAGTGTGTTAACAAATGCAAATCAATAGGGAAATTACCTTTTATTTTGCATTAAAAGAGATTCAATGTGGCTGCCGTTGTTGTGGACCACATATTGCATTCTGTGCACAGTATGCGCAACAGCAGAAACTAACGTGTCTGCAGGAATCTCCCGTACAGTCCGTTGATATGTTATCCTTCAACGTAGTCTGGTCCTGGACCACTTCCTTGATAGACCTTGATAGACTTAAGGTCACCCCATAGCCAGAAGTCGCATGGGGTCAAGATCAGGCGACCGAGGTGGTCATGTAGTTGCAAAGTAGCGGCCTAATGTCTCTTTCTGTTTTGAATTTCTGTCGTATCATCTGTTGCACCCGTACAGCAACGTGTGGAGGGACTCCATTCTTGCGTGAAAATGATAAAGCATCTTGCGGGCATTGTCTTTGCTGAAGTCCGGAATGACAAAGCTGTTTAACATGTGGCGATATTTCTTCCGGTAACAGAACAGGTTTTCCGGCCTGTTCGGGGTAATGTTCTCATAGAAGAATGGACCTGCGATAAATTCCGCTGTGAACCGACACCAAACTGTTACCTTTGGTGAATGTAAGGGAATTGCTGTGACTGTATGTGGTGATTTGTCATCCCAAGTTCGACAGTTCTGGGTATTCACAGTTCCATTCAGGAAAAAGTGGGCCTCGTCTCCCCATAAGATCATCCATCATGGCCAAGCATCATCCACCTCCATTCTGGCAAGAAAGGTGAGAGCAAAAGTCAATCGCTTATCATGGTCGGGGTACAGTAACTCCTGTACACGGCTAATCTTGTACGGATAGAAGCTGATAATCTTTCTTAAGATTTTCCATACTCGTACTGTAAGGCATATTCATATTCCATAAGGCATATCCATAATAAAAAGTAATTTTATTTCGTATTAATTTGCATTTTTATTACACACTATTTTCTATTACACAGCACCGAAATATTCCCCTAGCGGTGACTTTTGGAAACTAATTTTTTTTTCGCGGAATCCTCCGTCCCCCGTCTTGTTTAATCTTCCTACAAAATGTGGCGTCATTCTCGCAAATAGGTCGCGCTACAGAACACTGTGAGCACTGTCAGTTTAATTATATCCACCTGGTATTCATTGTCCTTAGGATAATTTATATCTTGAGCATAAATTTGCTTATTTAACTAACAATAGTTAGAAATTTGTTGGTAGAAGGTTGAGTTTAAACTCAAGTATGGGCTGCAAGAATATGAAAATGACAGACATGGTATTATTATGAAATGCAAATTTTCTCCTCTCTGATTATTCCCAATTTACTGTTGTCACAAGAACTGTTGGAAACAATGGGACATATTTTTTTTTCTTGATAAATTTTTGCAAAGGTTATCATAGAAATGGGAGCTCATAAATATATTAAATAGTTGGACGTGAAACGTTTTGCTTTATCAGATATTGTAACTGAAGGCAGTGTTATTCCAAATAAACAGCTGTATTGATTAACCAGTGATTTCTCATCAGTAGAATTTATTACGCATAATATAAACCCACCCATATTTATAATTAAAAAAAAACTTAGAAAGAGACAAAGTTAGGTAAATGCTTAAGATGCATGTGAAACTCTAAATAGAAGTAATTTTGAATGAAGTTGCCATACTTACTAAAGCTTAAACTTTCAGTAATTCATTCTTTTTTTTTTTAAATATATTTGAAATGATTATAATTTTTGGTGCAATGTAGTGTTTTGATGTAGTCATTTGGCATTGTTCCAGTTAGGCATGTTTTATTTTAAAAGTGGGGTTCTTCAACTTAAGTCAAATTCATGCTCTTGTTTGCCATTTCATTTCAGACCTAATATAGGACATCTTGCATGTAAAAAATTCATTCTGACATTAAAACTCTTTTTGATAAGTGTCCTTACATTGAAAAGACATTCCTTAAAGTAAAATAATTAAAATGAAAACATTTTAATTATTTTATGCCAGTACTTGCTATTTTAACATATGCTTAAAATATAGTATGTGACATAACTAAATTCAGTGCTAATGTGAAAATGATTTAACCTTTTCTTCCTTATCTGAGAAAAGCAAAACTGTATTTGTAGAGGAAAAAATTCTAAATTATTTTCCATTTTAATTTCTCATAAATTTTTCTCCATTAGCATTAACCGTCTTTTCTAATTATCATATTTTGTAGTTCTAAAGTACAGTTCAAAGACCAAGATCTGGAATTGTCATGACTTAGTTGATTCCAGATTTTAGATTACTGGTTTGAATCTAGTGAAATGACATGTAGATGTTACGGTGAAACACCGAAATCTGGAGAATGTCGACTTTCACTGGTGAATGTCAACATTCACATAGTCGCTTGGTTTATGTCCGAAATATTTTCCAAATACTCTTATTTCTGACTTACACCGGTGAATGTCGACATTCACCACGTACTAATGGTGAATGTTGAACATATAAGAATATTATATTTCTTTCTCCGTAATTCATTCGCAAAAAAACGCACTTGAGACTCAGAATAAAGAACTTAAAACACACAGTACATTCAAAATGAGAAAAGAAAATAATAGAAGTTATAAACTTACCAAATTATGTGATTCAAATCTTATTTATTGCAACAACTTAAAAAGTATTATGACACTTTAAATTGCACAAGAGGCCCTTGCTTTTACAACTGCATTTATTTGTGGAACACTTCCTTTTGGAATGGCAGCGTGTACATATACTCCTCTCTTTTCGACCTACACCAGAGCATATCTGTGATTGTTGACATACACCGGTGAGGGTCTGAATGTAAAGAAATATTCGATCTTTCACCGACGTATTTGGTGAATGTTGACATTCTCCGATTTCGGTCTTTCACGGTAACATAGACATGACAACATTGGGGCTTCTCATGCTGTTTATGTCAGACAGAAAAATGCTACCCCTCTACATTGTTCACCAACAAGTGGCAGCATTAGGGGTGGCAAAAATTTTAGAATTTGTTCTAAATTCTAAAATTTTGAAAAGGCAGAATTTTTGGAATAAAGGGCCAGGCAGTAGGATTTAGGACCCGGAGATATTGCCACCAGCAGAAAAATGTGTAGCTTTGGTTCTCCTCCCTCCCCCCAAGCATTCAAGGGCCAAAAGTGTAATCCTGGCCATTGTCAGTTAGTGCATTCCACAGTGCAAGTATCTAGTCAGCGCGTGTTTGAAAGTGACATGCAGGAATTTCCTTTATTCCATAGAAAAACCACATTTATGACACACCTGCTGTCTTTTGTTACAATATTCTCCATTTCTAGACTTCTACACTTTTCTTTGTCTAGTTCTATGGTGATTTTGGACTTAGTACTTTACACACATATTCCTAAATCAAATGCCATTTAAAAAAAGAGAGAGAGAGGGGTCATGGAATTTATAATTTCTAAAAATCGCAGATTTATAATTAATTGTTACACGTTACTAATTTAAATGTATGTAATTTTTTGGTAATAAATTGAAGTCAATTAAAAAAAACTTGCTAGGTGTATTTTATTGTTTTATTTCAAGTCCTGTAATCTGACACCCCCTCAATTTTTTATGATGATGCTGAAATTTGAAGGTGCATCTTAGAATTGAAGCTATATGGTTATTTATTTCAAAATCAAGGGAATTTAAAATATTCCTTGCCTCAAATTATAGAGCCTGGTGCTTATACGCTAAATTTTGTATCTATTTTGATTTTGCTATACAATGTCTATTTTGTGACCTAACTTCTGAAAAATAGTTCATTTGGTGAGAAATAAGATTAAATTATCTAAATAATTTTCATTTCTTTCTTTTTTACAGGACCAAAGAAAGATGCTATTCATGCCAGAGAATTTATTCTAAAAATGTTTGTTGATTTAAATCCCGATAGCGAGAAAATAATTTATTCACATTTCACTTGTGCTACAGGTAATGCATATTTCCTATTAAATCTTTCTTTCAGATGAATACACAAATGCTTCTAAATGTAAAATGTTCAAAATGGCTGATATTTGTGTTTGAAATAAGAATACCAAATTTTCTTGTTGTTTATAAAAAACCTAATAATTCCTATTTGAATTTTTCCCCCTCATAATATTTCAGGCACATATAATAATGATATGAAATATCCTGTTTTAACAAAATCTTCCTGCCACCACAATTATTGTCTGCACAAACACTTTGCTTTGGTGTGTTTAATCATATTTTGTTAAAACCATCATTTACTTCCAATGCTGTTGCAAAAAGTCAGCTACAGAAACTAATGTTGTTTCATATGACACTGTGATGGTAACGGAAAGTTCAAAAACATGGACCTTGACATTCAAGAAGCAGGGTGCTCTAGCCAGGCTACTGATGTTAATAAGTCCTGCCTGTGAGAACTTGTGGAAGAAGATCAGTAAGCAACCACTCGAGAACTTGCTAAGAAGTTAAACGTTAGTGCCATGTTCATTAGTCGAGTTATACATCACATAAACTTGACATACACGTCAGTCACTGGGTGCCATATGAGCTGACTCAAGCAGATAAGGACAGATGTGTTCGGGCCTGCACTAATCTGCTCGAATATGAGCGCAAACACAAAATTCTGGACCGGATCATTACTTGTGATGAGAAGTGGGTTGACTTCACACACCGAAAAGGGGGTTCATCTGCACCCATTGATTCCGTCAGCACCGTCGCAAAGTGCAATTTGACTAACAAAAACATCATGCTTTGTGTCTGGTGGGATTGCCGTGGTATTATCCACAAAGAGTATCTGGCTAAAGATAAAACCTTTGACAATAAGTCTACAACAAGATGCTAGTCCATGTTGATGGTTGCCTTATGCCGCATTTGGCATTGGACATTTTCTTCCAAATCCAACGAATAGTTGTGGGATTGATCTGCATTTCATCCAAGATGTAGTGCAAGTACCATCCGGAATGCAGAACATTAATGAACTCATCAATTTGGTGATTTTGAATATGACAACTTTGTTATACCTCAGACAGAAATAACACAAAATCTCGTATTTTATAGCCATGATACCTCTAAAACTTATGGTTTTGTGCTTGTTTACAGGCTTATGTACCTTGTTCTGTCTGATTGGCTTGCAGATGGTTGCATTTCCATAATTTATGTGCGTGTTTGTTCAGATTTGTGTCTGGATAACTATGACTTATTACTAAATTCATATTATAGAGTGCATGAATGCTGTTCTGGTCCTGAAGTTTCTATCTGTGATCAGTTGCTGATGAGCACTTTCTAAAGCAAATGATGTGTCATAGCTTAGCCAGTCAGTATGAGAATTTTAGGATCAAGTTAGTGGCATACTCTATATTTAATTTAGATTTTATGCTTTCTCCATATCCTTATGTGATTTGAGATATTGAGTTTCGTATGGGTTATTCAATTCATGGACATCTGGAAGTCATCCATAAATTGAAAATCTAAGAATTTTTATTTGAAAGCCCAAGAACTTTTAGCATATAATGAAGTGTTGATAGCATCCATACATTCAAAAAAAATTTCAAGTCTTTTTGGAGACAATAGTTTCATTTTCTCCATGTACATTACTATTTTATTTCTACATCTACCATTTTATTTATTTTTGCCCTGTTTATCTGGTTTTTTTATAAAACAAATCATAACAGATTTTTTTCAAATAACTTTTTAGCCCAAAGGGGCAATTTTGCCCAGAAGGGCTATTAATTTCATTTTAGCATTTTGTATTGAATCACTTTTCCAATTGTTGTCACCAAATCTTATTGTCCTTAGCATTGGGATAAAACAACGGTACCTAGAGCTATCAAATTTTGAATAATGTAATCCTCCATCCAAATATGGACATCTGGAAGCCAAAATTTGGAATTTGTTATATTAACTACTAGCAGCTGAGAAGAATACCAAACGCTAAATTTAAAAGCTGCACAGAATTTTACTCTGCAGAACAACTTCATAAAAACAATATGGAAAAAAAATATATTACATATAACAAAATTACAATAAGCAATATCCCTTGTTACAAATATTAATTATCCTAATAAATGAATTAACCATCTTCCCATTGCCTTCTCTCAACAAACATCCAGTATTCGAGAGAAACATTAAATTTAAAAACTGCACAGACTTATCGCCTTCATTTTTCCAAGAGGCAACAGTGCTGATTTTGAACAGTCAGCAGTCCACAGTGTACAATTGAATGAAAAACTGTTACCAAAACCATGTTTCTAAAAGAATGAAACTATTGAAAATAATGTAATAATACCAAAAAGGTAAAATTTAAAAAAACTGGTTCGAATTTTGAAAAAATTGCTTCTAGGTGCACTGTCTCTTGTCTAGATGTACCTATATACCAAATTTCGTAGCCCTGGGTCTATTATCTTACATGCAGCACGAACGAAGGACACACAGACTCTTTCTTTTATTATATGTAGAGATTTCATATTTTGCAAAACTTTAATGAATGTTTGATTAACAAACTCAATCATTTGAAAGCAAGCAATGTCAATGCTCTACGGGGGGGGGGGATCTCCAGCGTGTGAGACTGTGTATCGGAAATTCTAAAGATATGCTCTTTTAAAATTATGTGATATTGCTGTTGAATTGGATTTTATGGTCTAAGTGTGAAGAACATGATATTTAATAAATAAATGTAACACACAGAACATTAAAAAAAGTCCCTTTGGGTGCAATATAAAATCTGAAAATTTCTTTTTTTAAATTTAATTTCTTAAATATTTCTCTGTTTTTCTACATAGTTTCCATATTTTTAAAAACATTTCTCCTAATGTTCTATAAGCTTGTCTAAGTCATAGACGTCTGCGAGGAAAACCATTCTTAAAAACTGCTGCTTTTACCTGGTCATCGGTAGCAAACCACTTGGCTCTGAAAAACTCCTTTAGGTAACGCAACAAATGAAAATCATGTGGTGCTGTACAGTGGGTGGTCAATCTGTTCCCATCCAGTGAATTGCAGAATGGGTTCTGGCATTCTCATGCAACAACAAAACTCCATATGACAGAAGGCCATGTCGCTTATTTAGTCAGGGTAGCATAATAAGTGGCATTATTTATTGTTATCCTTTGCTGCATTAACTTGACTAACAAGCCTCTTTGTCTGTCCCAAAGCACGATTACCATAACCTTGCATATTGAGATTGTCTGCTTGTCCTTGGCTCTGACTGTTGATGCTGTTTGACTCCATTCATTTGACTGATGTTTAGACTCTGGAGTGATATGAGAAACCCACGTCTCATCCTCTGTGACAATCCTCTCTAAAATTTAATTGCCTTTCTTATGATATCAGTCCAAAAATTAAGAGCACAAACCAATTTTTTTTTTTTTTTTATTTGGTGTTCCTCAAAATTCCTGGGAACCCAGCATGCGTACAGTTTGTGAAATTGCAACTATTCAAAGACAAAAAGTTGTTCTACCCTAATTTGGAAGCTTCAGTACTAAAGTTGGAATTGTGAATCGCCAGTCTTTCATTCATGGCATTGACCAACTCTGTGATCACTGATCATCGGCCTGATTGTGGTTTATCATGAACATGAACTTAATGTCCACGAAAGCTGTCACCTACTTAACGTATTTTGCTGTCTGTCATATTGATTATATTGGCCTTACCTGTTGATCAATTTGTGCTGCTGAAATGTTCCTTGCTGTCAAAAGCTCAATCACTGACTATATTTCACAGTCAGCGGGCTAATTAATTATTTTAACCATTTTGAATGTTGTGACTCCTATTAAGATTAGCATTTCCTGTTTTGTATTATTTAACACAGTCAAATACCGAAAATCCGCCGACCTGAAATCCGCATTGCCTCTCAGAATATAAACATTCAGTTTATAGGTTCCTTAAACCGCAACATTGAGTACGAAATATCGAAGAAAAAAATACTTAACAAATAATGACGTCATAATTACCGAATAATAATGAGTCAAAACAGAAATACCAAATTATTGATATAAAAAAAGTTTAAAAAAATAAAATAAGTTTTTTGCCCTTTAATCTCCATCGAGGTAAAAAAGCAGACGATTCACTCTTTGTTCAAGTTCACAATTCACGTTGTTGTATTTTCTGAGCTTTGTTATTTCATTTCACGAGATTGTTTAGTGCTGCCTTTTTTTTATCCAGTTATTTTGAGAATAAATTAAGAATATTTTTAATTTCAGCCCTTTTTAATACAATGACAGATAAGAAACACACTCGTGATTTTACTGCTTGCAACGTTGAAAAACGTAAATGCGTTGCATTGACAGTAACGCAAAAAGTGCAAATTCTGCAAAAGATGGAAGCAGGTGTTACTCCTCGATTTATAGCAAAATGGTACGGAATCGCTACACGATTGTGTCTGATATACTGAAAAATAAAGAAAAGCTGTTTAAATTTTACAGCAACAGTGATTCTAACACCGGAATCCGAAACCGGAAATCTTTGTATGAGGGAAAATCGGCAAACGTAGATGCTGTGTACATATAATACAATTAATAATATAATTAATTTATATATGTAATAATAATTTAATGCATATAATAAATTATTGCAATATAATAATTTAATTAAATGTATCTAATATGCCTTATTCATTTTGCACTTTTAGTCTGAATATTATGCTTTATCTTTTCTCTCCTGAAATCCGCACAACCTCTGGTTCCAAGCTTTGTGGATTTCTGGAATTCTACTGTACTGTGTTTTGTAATTTTGTTTGATGGCTTTGTTTCGTAATTAATCTGGCAACCAATTTTGTTTTGAATGTAATGATCAGAAAATTACCATTCTAAGAGATACTGAATGTTTTTCATAATTAAGATGTACAGATCATTTTGATCATTATACTATACATGTAAGATAATCGTATTTATCTGTATGTGTTCGTAGAGTGAAATAAATTTGATATAAAACGAAGTTGGATTTCGAGTCAAAACAATACCAATGCAAATGGCATCGTTTGATGAACAAGGCATGCCCGTAGTAAGTAGGCATATGTGTTTCAATGTTCACATGACATTTAAATAGCTACTGCGATTTGGGCCTTAATTTCTGAATAACCCTCATAATTTTGCCATATCTGCTTATATCTTTTGCTCACTCTTTTAGAAACGTTTTCAGCCAGATTATGGGTGCATATATAATAAGAGAATTCAGCTTTTTTTATGCCACGTTGTAATATTTTCATAGAAAGAAAACAAATTTGAGTTGCATTTTTTTTCTTAGCTGTGGTGAACATTTTTTTTTATTTCAGGTAATAAATATTAAAAATAAAATTATATGTATTTTTTCCCGTATTTGTAGTAACTGAATTTAATTTAGGACATGGCATTTTACGACGCGCGATGAACTGGAAGTAGATCTGTCAGCACTATCCTTATTTTCAGGGCAGGTGTTTTTATTTTATTTGGCTTGTAATTCCTTACTAAATGTAGTATTTCATCTCGATGTACTCTGTCTTTGATATGATTTAAATCAAATTCCTCTTCATTATAAATATCACGAATATACATAAAATAGTTTTCTAGTTGCAATTTTCTAATTTCGACTATGCGTAATATATGCTTTACGCATGTGCGGGTTGAAAAAAGTGTTTAATAAAGTAAACAAACAAATAAATATTAAGCTATATTTTTGTAAATTTTGATACCCTTTAGATCATAATTGCTCTTTATTTCATAAATTACGGTTTCATATTTTTAATTTTATAATTTCTGCATGCCATCTTACCAGATTTAAACTAATGATCTATAATCCGGAATCGCGAAGTCCCGACGAGTCCGGTTTAAAGACTTTTGACTGTATTTCTTTTAATTGCAGAATTCCTTTGGCAACACAGAATTATAGTGATGAAATTCTTCATATTATGTTGCTTTTCTATTTGCACCACCATGAGTTCATATTTTCAGCATGATAATGGTCAGCCACATGTGCATACATTTCTTTTGATTGCCTTCTCGCCAAATAATTCCTTGTCTGGCTTAATTGTCAGATTTACACCACATAGAGCATATATGGAGGCTGATGGAAAAGCATCTGTGACCATCTTAGAATGTTGGAAAATTAACCTAAACAATTGCAGGCACTTTAATAAGAAATCCTGCAGGAAACCTTCTGCTATGTTTACGAGTCTGGGTAATGACTTATATCCAAGCCATAGGTGGACCAGTACCTTATTGACTTGCATCCTTTGTGTTGCTCTTTATCTTGAATTAATCATCTATTTTTTTTTAATTATAATTATTTCTTTTTTTCTGTGTGTATGTATACTACATCTATCAATTTTTTATCTCTGAATAACATGTTGGCACTGTAGCACTCTCGAAAGGGGTTTAAACACTCATATTATAAAGCAATTCGAATAGCAGAATCTACCATGTAGGAGCTCTACTTTTTTCTTGTTCAGTTACTACATCCAGGCCCAGAATCAAATCCCAAAGTAACTGAAATTTTCAAGGGCATATGAAACTCATGCGCTGTTGCAAGCTTTGTGATCACTACAGTTGTGACATGCCTGCTGTGGACATATGACAAACTTTGTCACGCATACCAAGGCACTTCACACGCTCCACTCCACAGCCTAATGACATACATGCCAACTAGCCAGGGTCCCTCGACTTTACTCCACCATGTAACAAGGATTCATGCCAATCAGTTACAACATGTAGCAAACTAAGTATGCCTGCAACTATGCCCACCATGCATGCTGAATTTACGATGACTGATAGCATCATATGGAAAGATTATGTAATGATCTTGAGCCAATCAATGCAGTTCAAACACCAGAATGTGTTGTGCGAGAGCTGTTTTGCAACAGCAGCACGGTATTTGAATGCCATGTAACAGACCAAGGATCAAATCTCAAGGCCATTAATAATCTTTAAAAGCATACAGAAGTCGTGCTCTGCTGCACTTCCTATTGGTGCTAATAGATGTATCACAAGCTGTGAACTGAACAGCACAAAGCAAGGATACTACCATGTGATCACAACGATATATTGATTTCCTATATCTTAGATTGTATTTCGTTGATATGTCATTGCCATGCATAGTTTTTCGTAACTACAGTATCACTAATTTAGACATATGCATCTGAAATGATTTATATATCTTGATACTTTGAAAAGTGCATTTCCTTTTGTATTTTATAAAGGAGTCTGATGATGAATGTAATAAAGATATTAAAATCTGAATGAAATGTGGTTGAATTCTTAAAAAGAAGTAATTTCTAATTATTGTTTTTCTTCTGCCTCTTTATGATCTGAATTTTTTTTTTATTATTTTTTAACTCTTTAACAATATATTAGTTAATATTTTCTCACTCTTTTTATATCCTGCATGCAGGAAGGTAGAATCTGAAATGCCACACATGTAGAAATAAAAATTATTTTTACCTGTTCATACCTGATTTCTTGTTATGATAATTCAATTTTTTTTTTTTTTTTTTTCTAATTTCAGATACAGAAAACATTAGGTTTGTCTTTGCTGCAGTGAAAGACACCATATTACAGCTTAATTTAAAGGAGTACAATCTGGTGTAAACCTTTTAAGTTTTCATCAGTGGCTTACAGATGTTTTTGCTGTTACCCTCTGTCTTTCTGGAGGATTCAGTGCTCCAATTCAGAAGGATAGACAACTGAGAGAGAAAGATGTTTAGAACATACAGAGGCTTGTTTATTCTCCTCAGCGATCTTTTTTAAAACCACTCACTTATGTGTCATTGTGCAGTATATTGCACATGCACTTGTATACCTTCAGTTCACACTGCACAGTATTTTCTATATTTGAGTGAATGAGGAAAAAATGATTGTAATCATGGTGGCTATGGAAAAACACACATCATGTCATTGTTAGCATTAACTTTTTTATCAGTCATTGAATGTAAATTTTTTCACATCTATGTGCTTTACATCCAGACATAACAAGAAAAAATATTTGGCATAGTAAAAATGTGCCAAATCAAAGTTTGGTTTAAAAAAAAAAAAAAAATTGATGCACAAGCAGGTGCTGTATGTATGCATTTGTGTGCATTATAAGCATGCATACACATATATAAACACATGCACAGTTGTATATTCAGACATGTATATGTATGATGGAATTTGTACACCAAAGATATGGTATAATGCTTTTCAAAGCATTTCCCATAACTCATTGGTGGGGTTTTTCAAGTTGTTGCATGGCACGTATTTTTCTTTATATTGTGTGTGTTAAAGCACTTTGAATATGATGACAGCTCTGGATATTGGGTAAAATAGTGGAAATATTACTTTTTTTCTGAATGCTGCTTGTGAGCTTTTTATTAATTAATGAATGTTTAGCCACTGACAAGTCACAGGCCCAATACTTTTTGACTAGTCACTGTTTGTAAATATATTCTTATGTAGTATTGCCTGATGAGCTTGTTTTTGCGATCTATGATGGTATTATTTTTTATTTGTGCCAACTGAATGAAGAATCATTTTTAATAAAGCTTCATTAATAGCGTGTCATGTAACTTGTTATAGCTAAAACTCCATCTGAAATTGTGTTGTTCATATGTATAGTTTGTTTTACTTTTGTTTATATGCTTATTGTATATTTTATTGTATGTGTTCTGTTGTCCCTCCTTTTTTTACTTTGATGTTGATATATGTTTACGAGAGATCAAATTTCATGCCATATAAATAATGCATAACTACAGCTCCAAAAACAACAGCTTTGCAGTTTGGTACTTAAAATCTTTTTCTGTGTATTTTGAAGGTGCTTCACTATTCCTCAGGGCTTGTTATTAATTTAATAATAGCCTCTTTTCTGACGCACTAGCTGTTGGCACTTAAGTTTTCTTTTTATTATAAAAAGTAGATGAATGTGGTAACTCTGTTTGCATATAAAAAGACTTTCTTGAGCTAAATACAATGTGTACTTTTCGATCTTTCGAATTCAACGTAATGTGCTAGAAATGATCGACGAGCAGCTCATTGGTATCAGATAAATTTGTAATTCTTACTCTTTTTCCGAAATCAAGAGCATCAATTGAAAATGAAAAAGAGAATAGAACAATGTGATTTTGCGTGAAAGATATCCTGTTTTTACCAGAAGATGGAGTTGTGGTGAATTTGCATGAAGCCAAAGACATACCATTGCACATGCCAGTATTCAATTTCATATCACCGACAGAAGTGATGTGTGAACAAGTGCTACATGCTGTGCTAAACTACTGCCCATAATTTTTTTACTATTGTTCTGGGTGCTAAGCACTTAGCAGCAGATTAAAATGTGTGTTGAAGGTGACAAAAACTAAACTGTAATCTACTCGACCAATATTTGGAGACATGCATGAATTGTCTCAAATTATGTTTAATAGCACTTTATGCACAAAGTTTTTTTAATAAAAATTATTTAAGTTGTCCTTTCCGAATTATGATATTAAGAATTTAAAATTTTGTTATATTTATGCTTCAGTACACTGTTGATTTATTTAAAGTATGAATTTTTTTTTTGCTGGACTAGTGCTGAAGTTTTGATCCCTTTTTTAACTAAATGTAAGAATATTTAAATATTTCTATATAAGCTTTTACGTGACTGTAAAGCAACTGTTTGCATAACGCTTCTTTTGTTACATTTACTTTAAAGGAAAACAAATAGTTTCAAAACAGTTTGTAAGTCATCAATATCTTAGTCTGTTTTACAAGGAAAGTAAATTGTACTTGATTATTGTTCTGTCTAATTCCTTGTTGCAATTATTAATTTCCATAAACCAGTCTTTTTTATACAGAGGATGTTTCATAATAAAAAAGCCTACTAATCTGAGTGTTTATTAAAAAAAAATTTGTATATATTTTTTTTTCATTTGAAAGCAGGTGTACATTAAATTATGGGATATTCTTTCCTGGGTGTTATATTTTAGATATTTCTTGCACAGAGAAAAAATTAAAAACTTAAAGCATTAATTTCTCAGTATAGTATATTTTGGAAAATATATTAGTTTTTCATTAGAAATTTGATATTCTCGTCAAGTTTATCTCTCCTTCCCCCAGGTAGATTATTAATGTTTTGATGTGATTGTATTTGTTATTTCTAAAACACTGCCAGAAAAAAAGAAGTCTTATGAAATATTATACTTCTGATGTAAATAATTCTACCTAGAAAACCTACAGCAGTGATAATTATCTTGTCCATATAATTCTAAATAAAATTTTAGAAATATTTACTTGGCTAGCAAAAAGTGCTTATTTATATGTAGGTAAATTTGTGGACTGAAAGAGGAAAGACATTTCATTTTACATAGATAATCATTTACCATTTGGCAAACAAAATGCCATCTAGGTAGCAAGTTCTGTTTAGTTTCCATGTGTGCTTTTATTTGAACAGGCATTTTATAGGCGACTTTCATATAAACATGTAACATTTGAAATTCTATAGTGTTTTCTTAATTAAAAGTAAATGGCAATTGTGAATATTTAATGTAAAAATTTTCTTTTATCTCTTGTTGGTTTAAAAGGAACTGGATTTTTTAAAAAATAATTCCTTAAATGTATAAATGCAAAACTGTTTCTATAGTATTATATGCTTTCTTTGTAAAAAGTATATTAATCTAGATATGTTATCTGCTTGGGGGATATTTTTATGTAAGAAAACTTTCTACGTGCTATATAACAACTTCTATAAATTGCAGAAGTTTTAATAATTAACCAGTGCTGTGATTAGTTAAATAACTGTCACACATAAACCATTCTCCTAACTCATACTGGCTCACGTAGCTTTGACAGTAGTGATTCTTATTGATTAACAAACTGTTGAGATTGGATTGGATTTCTAGGCAAAGAATGCCAAAGCTTGTATTGTCTTTAATGAACTGGGTTGCTTAAAATCTGTTGATCATGCTGTTGGTCAAAATTTTTTTTGAAACTTAGGCAGATAACTTTTGTATGTTTATTCTTGGTCAAATAGTCCATTTCTTTGAACAGGAGTTTTTAGTATATTAAAGTAATTATAAATATTTGATTCTATAATAGACAGTGAAAAAACACAATCGATCAAGGTGTTCATAAAGTTGACGAGTTGTCAATCTTTTTCTATTGCTGCATTTTCATTTATCTGTAAAGGAATATTATTAACTAATTAATTATCATAAATTAATAATAAATAGAACAGTGACAGCAAAACGTTTTGCCTGGTAGAAACATCTGTATTATTTGTTTTGTTATTTATTTTTAATTTTATAATTTTTGATGAAATTAGTTTGATAGGTCAGTTTATAAAAGATGATTTTGTTCCGCACAAATTTATTTATGCTAAATAAATGCTCAATTTAATGTTAAAAAAAGCGTAAATTTTCAGGATTGTTATTTAAATGAATTGCTTATTTTTTAAAATTAAAATTTCAATTGGATTTATCTATTAAATGAGAAAAATTATATACATTTAATGGAATTATGTACTAATATAGAGAGTAAATTGTTATAAAAGCAATTTTATACCAGTTTTGCCTGTGATTGAATATCTTAAAAAATAAAAATTTTGCAGTTTCAAATGGTATTTCCTTTTTGTTTTGTGTATTTAACTGAGTTCTTAGGTGACTTATTTTTAAAGTGCATACAAAGATAATTCTTTCATGAAAATATTAATATGGATAGATCTTGGCAGTGTAGAACAGAAGTAATTGTAATGTAGAGTTTTGTTGAAGAATGATGGTCTCCCATTTGCAGTTTCCAACATTTAATATTTTCCAAGCTGGAATAAGAATTTATGTTTTCCAAGTAATTCAAAATTCCTTTTTTCTTTCTTTTAAAAAAGTCACCAGATTTTTTTTTCATTCATGAAGAGTACTTTGATTATTATGGACTTTGTTTTCAAAGAGAAAATGTACAGTGAAGCTTATTAGTACTGATGTCAATTGTTATTAATCATAATGGTGACTAAGCTGGTACAAAAGTTTACTGACTGTTCTGGCAGTTTAAGTTAGTTCTGAGATAATTAAATTAAATGGATGAATTCATCTGATGGAATTTGAGATTTCTCAAAAATAGTTTGTACTCTTCTTCTATCTCAGTATTGCTGAGGCTTTAAAAATGTATTTTAAGCATATTTCAGTCGCCAAAATTTATCTTGGTATGCTTTCAGTGTTTCTTGCAAGATGGGGATTTTTTAATTTCACTTCTAAGATAATTTGAAATTGTTGAAGCAACTGATCAAAAGTCAGTAAACAAAAGAGTGGCTTGAACTTTTTTTGGTGACATTATTTTACATTTTTCAAGATCAGTGCTGTCCACATTACCAGATGATCTTGTGATAAATCACCTTTATAATAATCGACAATAGAAAGTACATTTTGTCTCTTGGAAATAACCACCGTGTCAGTTACTGAATTTTGGAAGGTGTGAATTTTTTAAATGGGGCATTGTAATTTATGATTCTGAAGGTAAATTAATTTAACTGTGTGTATGTGGTAATAACTCCCATCCTTGATTTGTACTTAGGTGCTTATCTGCAGTTTATAATGCAAGTGTTCAGTAAGGATGTTTTCTTCCAGTCTTCATCAATATTTGTTATAATTTCTAAACAAGTTTTATTAGGTTTTTAACTAATTTTAAGTTCATGAAATTTTTATTGTTGAACAAAGATACTGAATAGTAGGAGATGGGCTACATTTTTTATATATGATTTTGAAATTTTATTAGGGTTCGTACAGTCCTTAGGGAAAGGATTTTTGGTCATTGGTCTTTATTTTTGTCAGAAAGTCCTTAATTTTAATCATGTAAAATTTCTATCTGTTTTTACGACTGACATTTTGAATGTGAATAGTATTTTGGAGGAATATTTTTTGGCAATTCACTGACAAATAATTATTTGATGGGTTATCATTTGAATTTGTTCCTACTTTTAACATAAATAGTGTGATGCAAGAATTTCTGGGCAAGAAGTCAAACATAAGCATTTCAAAAAAAATTTTTTTTTTTTTTTTTTCCCAATGAAAAGCTCATAAACAACTTTTCCCTTTTGGGGGTGTGAATTCTTTTATTAAATGGCTCTAAATTTGACGACTTAACAACATTTTGGTGATTTTAAGATTATATACAAAATTTTAATTTGGAGATTTGTGAATTTTTCAAAGATTTTTTCTTAAAACATTATAACATTGATAAATTACATTAAAATAATGATCGTATATTAAAATTATATTTAAAAAATAATATTAAAATAAAACATTTTTATTTTTGTGTGCAACTTATTAGAATATATTGAATCTGAAAAATAAGTAATAAATGTTGTAAAGCGCAATTTCCATAACACATCTTAGAAAAAGCAAATAGCTATTGTAATTATTTTAAAATGTCTTCTTTTATACTTTTTCATGGTAAGAGTTTTTCCCATGTAACTGTCTCAGAATATTTAGAATTCCCGGTGTATGTATCAGTTTCCTGGGTAAAATTCATTTTACACTTTTCTTCCCTGAATATGTTTTTCAAAAAATGTCTGGTTTTTTGCCGTTACGAAATTGGTAGGTATAATTTTTCTTTTTGACTTTAGACATAGCACTTCGGAAGTATTTGAAGGAAAGGACCTACAATTCAAGAAAAATGTCTTCGTGGTACAGAAGAAGTCCAGAAATCCGCAAAGCTTGGGAGCAGAGGTTGTGCGGATTTCAGGACAGAAAAGATAAATCATAATATTCATACTAAAAGTGCAAAATAAATAAAGCATATTAGATACATTTAATTCAGTTATTATATGCATTAAATTATTATTACATATATAAATTGATGATATTATTCATTATATGCATACAGCATCGAGGTTTGCCGATTTCGCCTCATGCAAAGGTTTCTAGTGTTAGAATCACTGTTGCTGTAAAATTTCAACAGCTTTTCTTTATTTTTCAGTACATCCTACACAGTCCGTTTGGCAATTCCATACGATTCTGCTATAAACTGAGGAGTAGCACCTGCCTCCATCTTTTGCAGAATTTGCACTTTTTGCATTACCGTCAATGCAACGTGTTTACGTTTTTCAATGTTGCAAGCGGAAAAATCATGAGTGCATTTCTTATCTGTCATTGTATTAAAAAGCACTGAAATTTAAAATATTCTTAATTTATCCACAAAATATCTGGATTTAAAAAAAAAAAAAAAAAAAAAAAAAAAAGCAGCACTAAACAATTGCATAAAATAACAAAGCTCAGAAAATACGGGAATCATGAACTTGAAAGAAGAGTTCAGTGAATCATCTGCTTTTTTACCTCAAAGCAGATTGGACAGAAAAAAACTTTTATCATGATGTCAATAATTTGGTATTTTCGTTATGACGTCATTATTCAGTAAGTATTTTTTCTTCGATATTTTGTAATCTATGTTGCGGTTTCCAGAACTTATAAACTCAATGTTTATATTTTGAGAGGCAATGCGGATTTTAATTTGGCAGATTTTCGGTATTTGACTGTATTTACATACAATGGATGTATTTTACAGCAGTATTGTGATAAATTTCTTGATTTTTGAAGAAAATGAAAACATGACTATTTATAAAAAAATTTCTACTCTTGTCACATGGGTAGGCATCAACAGAAGGGAATTTTTCTATTAATAAAGAAATTAAAAACTGATAATTTAAAAGATTCATCTTATATGTCTCAATGCATTATATGCGGGGCTGGTGCTGGACATTTTCCTACATTATGCAATCTCTGTGGGACCTAAATTCTGTTGCGTAGTGCCTCCCAAAATTTAAAAAGTTTTACATCTGTTACATATTCAGTGCTTCATTAATTTCTAAAAATTCTGCCGCATGAATTCTGGTACTGGCTCTGACCATTTATCATTTCATATTTATTCTCAATGTTCATATTACAAAAGAGAAAAAATCGGCAGTTTCTTCTATACATTCTAAATACATGAAGTTTTTTTGAATAACAGAAATCTCTAATTAAAACCAAAAATTCTAAAATGAAAGACAAATGTATTGAGGAAGAAATGAATGCATAAAGAGAAAGAAAATTATTCTTCGAAAGTATATTGTTGAGACATTGAGAAGTTGGGAAATGAATCAGAAACTAGTGGGAACTTTGGTTTGCTTATAGAAACAAATTTCTTTTTGTTAAAAAAAGATGCTTAGAGAGAAGGAAATTGATATAAATTAACCAAAATGTCTGGGAAGCTTTCAAATTAAAAATATTCAAATATTTTGTTGAATGTTGCTGAAAAACATAAATGTTTTGTAGCTTTTAATGTATAATTAGCCTAATGTCATTTAAGAATCAATTTCATTAATTACATGTGTTTTAACTGTGAAATGTTCTTAAATTTTTTATGCAAATATTTTTTTTAATATTTACATAAAAAAATGTAATTTAACAGTGGCCGTGTAAATCTATAATGACTAAGGGTATCTCATTACTTAATTTTATTATTTGTAACTAACTGCTTGCCCTTAAAAGTTATTTCTGCATGTTAAACTGGATTATAGCCTTTCATTAACCCTTACTGTGGTCGCAAGATACAGTATAATGATAAAACTTTACTCCTTACAGCTGGTGAGATTTAAAATGTTACAAAACAACTTATCTCTGGTGCTTTTGTATTAACTGGCTTAGAACTCCAGAAACTTTGCATGAAGCTACAACACTAACTGCAATAGACAAAGCATAACTTATAAAAAAATGCATCGAAGGCACGGCAGCATTAACCAGCCCTGTCGATATTAGGCATTCAGATCTGTTCCAATCAGCAGTTCTCTCTCTCCATAAAGGCAGCAGCCAAACTTTAGTTCATGGATCATCACTTTGCTACTAGCTTCTACCACTGTGTTTGTTTTACTAGTCGATTTAGTTTATTCGCCTAAGGCCAAACATAGTATTTTTTTAAAGTATGGTGTAATCGCACCTCACAACCGGAGGTGACGCTGTTATTTTGGCAAAGTCAAGAGTTCAAAGCTAAGTTCTTTAATTCACAAATCTCTTCTCAGCAAGTGAATTAAGTAGGGCGATTTGAAGTCTTGAAATTCAGTCTCTAATTCATATACAGTACAAAGTCCGTAATCCTTCGTCGATTCCGGAGGTGGGGTTTTTCCGGATTATAGATCATCAATTTAAATCTGGTAAGATGACATGTATAAATTATACAATTAAAAATATGAAACCGTAATTTATGAAATAAAGAGCAATTATGATCTAAAGGGTATCAAAATTTACAAAAAAAAAAAGCTTAATATTTATTTGTTTACTTTATTAAACATTTCTTTCAATGTAAGTTGCTTCGTTTTTTGTGCTAATACTTTCTCTTTAATTCTCTCCTCTATAAACAGTATCTCTTCTCTTTACGTGCATGCGCGCATTAAATGCGCATGCGTAAGTTTGAGGCTTTGAGGTCCGGATAATAGACGTCCTGATTACGGACTGTGTACTGTATACACTTTTTACACAGTCTTTATAGATATGCAGAAGGATTGAAACTTGCGCTTTCTTGGTCATGTCATGTGATGTGAACAAGCTAATGGAAGAGTTTTCACTTTCATAATTTTAGTAAATGGTGAAATAAT